ATTCAGTCGTAACAACGTGAGTGAGGAAATTCGAATAGTTTTGGCCCAGAAAGCGAAATTTGAATATGAGACACTTAGGTGCAAGATTATGCCAAAATTCCATGTTTTTCGTCCCGTTTTTGCTCATATCTCGGAGGGAAAATGAGCAAGAACGCTGATTTGTACATAATTCTAGAGAGAAATAAATGGTCTTTTTAGAAAGTGAACCATGGATGGGGAAATGTTGGCAGTTTTCTCAAAAAATGCTTGAATTCAAGAAGTTTTAGATTTGCGTGGTTTTTTTTGAGTTGCAAAATCCACTTGAACATGACGCTGCTTTTTTCGAAGTTTCTCAAGAACCATTCGAGCCACAGAATTCGTTTTGGCATCGTTGGATAGAGAATTGAATGGGGGGGGTCATGACCCCCATGACCCCCCTCCCCTGGATCCACCCTTGATGGGATGCACCCATTTATTTATCAAAATTAAAATTATATTAAATAATTTTAGTGTTTATCGCAATGCATTTTTCGTTCTAAAGTACCGGTCGTGCCATATGCCGTCGTCCAACTAACGATATACAGGCAATATTGAAATTGACCGTGGCAGCCCTTGCAACCGCCCCATAATTACCCTTCTGACTTACAAATGGGGGGTGGTTTTGTTTGTCGAATCCGGCACGCTTCACGCGTTTAATGCCCGAGTGGTTTGAGTAATGGTTTTGGCTACCTTCGGACCAGCCAACGAGTTCAGTTCCCTCCAGGGAGGATTTTCGCTGTTTTGTCGCACACGTAAAACAAGCGGTTTTCTCGAGAATGGCCGATAAGCGCTGGCCATGCCAAAAACCCGTCGAGCCAAAGCTGCAATCAACCGTTAAAATCCCTGTTTTAACGATTGCAAACGGAGTCGAAAATGCGCTCCAACAAGATGAAAAAAACAGTCGACTGCCGCTATTGCTTGTAGGTAAATAAATAAATCGGAGATTGTTTTACAACGACTTTTTAATGTCGCCGATAAATTTTCGGGGGTCTTCGAATTATCGTAACTGAATTAAGATGTTGCCGGTGTCAACTTGCCTCCTACAGGGCCGCTCCAACCTCCAAGGTCTGTCGCCTCCAGTATCAACCGGCGTTTTCTGGAGCTCGATTGGAGCTTGACCGCCCTGTAAGCGGATACTGATCTAAAAGTCATCGAGAATCGATGCTCCCAAATGAAGATGTCGAGTAAATTTTAACGATGGCTTAAATTAACTTTTATCACTGGCAACTATCAACATTGTGCGCTTGTTTTCACGCGATTTGAACGCTAAAAAACTATTGAAATCATCCAGTGAGTTCGGCGGTTTTCGTTGCTCTTGAACAGATTATTGGACGGAGTTGAGGATGGCACCAATCTCGAAGGACTCGGGCGCGAGTTGAAATATAACGGTACCCGATCGAAATTAACGATAGCGATAAAACATTAAATATTTCGTTTAATAACATTTCTTTGCCCGTTTAAAGGTGAACCAGCCCATAAAGAACGTCGAAACTTGTAATTTTTATTGCCATCATTCCGACACTAGATGGCTCTATATTTGCCTAGTTTTCTAAAAATCGAAGCGTTAACAGTCGAAAGTATCGTTGATTTATATCTATATACCTACTTCGGTTGTTCACATCGATTCGATTCGTATTCAAATCAGGAACAAATTGACGCATTTTTTATGTAAAATTCAATCGAGAGTCTTCATTACAAGCGGCGCTCCATTAAACGTATACAGGGTGTTTGAGTTCAGACTGGGTCGAGTTCGGTCAGTTAAAGATCGAAGCTGATTAAAATGTGCCATATTTTCTTGTTGTTTTCATTCGAAAGGCTCTAAAGTGAAGGGATTTAGGGAAAAATGGTTTTTTGTTGAAGTGAGCCTTTGGCTTGGACGCAAAAACCACTGTACACTTGTCGATTTATCGCTTTTTGGTCTAAAATCAGTGTCGTTGCACAACAAACGCATTAGAGAGTGCTTAATGTTGAAGTTGTGCCGAGCTCTTCGCGCACGCCACTGCACAGCCCGAGACTAGTTTATTGTCGGGCATTTGTTCTTATCATATCTGAATTTTATTATTATCGTTGAATTAATTTTGTATAAGTTTACGCCTTATTTAAAAGCAAGACTTGTAAGACTTGCAAGATTCTCTATCAACTGTCTATGAACGTCGCTTCTTAAAACTATGAAAGTTAAGATTTGCCACTCTAGCAGCAGGGATTTTTTGGACTTTTTCCCGGGTATGACAGTATTCATCTAATTTAACAACAAAAGCTATAAAAAGCCAAAATAATTCGAAATAATCGGCATTCTTGTGATATAGCCAAGGGCGAACCACGTAAGTAAAGTCTCTATCTAAAGGGGCTCTGCAGCAGTGCAGCGCCTATGCACCGGCCGCCACTGACCACATAGTTGAATCCGCTCGTTTAAGAAGTCAAACTCAAGTCGTTGATGGTTCGATTTTTTCCGGGTGACTGAATTCTTTGGTCATAAAAACGTTTCGGCCGTCCATGTAAGCCAAACGAAACGTTCGATTCGTACTGCTGTGGACTTAGAAATTGACTATAAAAGTACCACATTAATGGCTACTAATTGGGTTATTCTGCACTCTTCAGGTGCCTAATATGTAAATTTGCTCGCTCCTTACCGCTACATATCTCAACCAAATCGTGATTGGCACATGGCCACTTACCGTGTTATTGCTATTGACTCTGATTGGTTCCGGATTTCACTGCATTGTTCTCAAAAGTGATTTTTTCGCCACTTTTCATCGAATTACTCCCGGATAATCTGCATTGCTGGCAATTGGGCTTCGGTTAAGAAAACCGGGTGTTTTTTCCTCGTTAATTGTCGTATGTGATTGGAATAAGTCCATTCGGACGGCGAGCAGAGCGCACGCCAAAGCACCCATTTCGACCCAAAGAAAGTCTCCAGTGCATACTGTACGGTTTTTTTCTAAAATCCACCATTTTCGAAGCAATTTCCGGACATTCTGGTACATATGCGGTGTCCAAATTAGGCATTCAGCGACTAATGAGTCCCATCAAGGCGATAGTCGATATCTCACGAATTTGTATTCAAATTAAAATATCGTTCTTATCTTCAAAGACCGCCAGAATACGTCGACAGCCGCACCATAACGATCGTGTAATGGCATGCTAACCGGTAAAATGGTAATTGATTTGTAGAGTTTTGGTTCCTTGTTGGAACCAGACTTGGGTTTCTTCACAATCAAGCTGAAAGCTTGAAGCATTCTTTTCTACTGGGAATCGCGATCCTAATGGCGGCAAATAGATTCATTCGGTGCGCTCCACTTCTATCTCGGAAGAACCCAATCAAGTACCAGATGTAAATGTATCGCAAGCAATCGAGGCACTGCCAGTTCCCGAGTGTTTGCCTACTGAGCGCGATTCCGCTGAAAGCTCCCTAAGTGGTTCCAATTTCAACTTGGATGGGATTTGCTTAGGCTGATGGAAAAATGCCTAGCAATCAACGACTGATCAAACTTTGCATTTATTCAATTGGTTCCCCATCTAGATCGGCTTCTCCATATAACCGAACGCGTTGCCTAATGCCAGAAGGTACCAAAGCGTCATATAAAGCAGTCCCTAATAGGGTGCAGAGTACCTAAATTAGGATATTCGGCAATAAATTAGGAAACCTGACAGGGGTTGGGCGTGTTGTTGCGCTTGATTGGCTGGTTTATTGAATTTTAATAACCGTCTTTGTATCAGCCAACAAAACCTTTGTGCGATTATTTCACTAAAATTTCCCTGATTTACTATTTAAAGGAAACATTTCTACATTTTTTTTTAATGATTTGAGTGCGAGTTTTTTTTCACAGCACAGATTTTCCCCATTAATTGTTAACATTCTGCAAATTTCACCTCACTTTTGCAACTTTTAAACGTTTAAAACGTTCTAGCAACTATTCTTCCGCTTCCATCTGTTTAGAGGTTAGACATTTCGGAAAAACCCTCCTCCACTTTATCGAAAAGGTTCCAATGCTCAGGAGGTGGTGAGCTCCGAAATCCGTTCCTTTTTACGGCTCAAGACAAACTCCTAACCTCTAAACTGCTAAACGCAAATCAGACAACTGACTGATCACAAGACACTCGCCATCGTCATCTTCAAGGACCAATAGGAAAACCGTCATTTTTTTTAATGCCCACTAGTTAAGCGCATTAATTGCATTTTTATGATGATTGTCGCTATAAACTTGGGTTGGGGCTCGTCAAATTAGCTGCTGTTTAATGACAGTGATTCCATGTCGCAAGCTATATGACAGTGACAGTTGACGTTGAGGGACGTCAAATGCTACCACCCTGGGTGAAATGTCATTAGTTACCAACAGACACCGTATGGTCCGAGTGGATGGTAACAGTTGGTCGGAGTCGAACCGTTTCGATTGCAATAAATCCCCTCGAATGGGCCATTTGCTTGATTTGATGGCTCAGTTTGAATCGATGTTGTTTCGTTAATTGGTCCGAAAAAATTGAAACTTTGGAAGATCCGCCCCTGGATGGTCGTTCACCGCATTTTTGCTTGATTAGGAATTTAATGACTCTCGCGCTTTATTGCCGACACTCTATCGCATCAGGAGAGCCGTAAATAATCAGGTAGTTTAGACAAATATTCAGAGGTTGTAAATTTTGATTCACGTTCGCTAATATCGAAGAATTATAAGTCATTGCCGTGGCGTTTCACCGTTAAGCGCACTTGGGGCTTAAGGGCAAATTGACTGGTGCCCTTGGCGGCGACCGGAGCCGAAACTACCCGAGCGGCTAACAGTGTTGTCAGACTTGGGTTTTTTCCACCTTTTTCACCGCTAATCCGGTCACAACAATTAAGCGCAAAGTAATCACGAAACGATTTGCAAGCGATTTGATGCATCGATTCGTGCAATTTTCCACTTAAAATGCTTATTTTTCATTGCGATTATCCAACTAGTTACCGGGGAATTCAGTTAATACTTTTGCTGGACGTTTTAGGAAAACATATTTAAAATCCCCACGTAGACTCGGCGCGGTATTAAGTAGAAAATTATCGGTTAACCGCCTTGCAAATTGCCGAGTAAATACAATAGTTGCTTCTTTTATTTGCCCAAGAATGTTCATTTGTATTTGAACGCTCCAAGTATGTTATGGCATATCTGCAGCCGATCGACTTCCTATTATCGCTAGCCAACAATGTTTGTTGAAGATTTTCGTCTCAAATCGGTTTATTTTGTTGCCAAATGGCAACAATTACTCGCCACTAGCGCTATTTTGTCATCTTTTCACTTTGGATGCTAGGCCTGGGTGACTCAGTGAATTTTTAAGAGTTGGCGCAATAATCATATAATCAACTATAACACTACTACTTATTTGAAAAACTCGTCACCCTCAACGCCCAGAAGAATTTTTAAGGCTCTTCAAAGCTTCCGATTTTTCCCGTTTTAGACCAAACATTTTCAAGCGATCGGTTCGCCCGAAAAAGTATCTCAATAGATTTTTAGTAGTTGGCGCAATGCTGCGCAAATGGCTTGGTGCGCCAACCCAACGCACCGGCGCACAGTTCTTTGAAACGTTAAAATTCCAGTCTCGGTCATCGGTAAACGAGCTAAGTAACTAAGTAACTCATTAAGCGATGAGCTCAAAAGCGCATCTCAACACAGTGTTACCCAGGCCTATTGGATGGGCCCAACGTTGTTATAAGTAATTGACAGTCTTTTTCGTTTAACTTTAAATTGAAACGCGCTTGCAACACAAGCAAACAATTGACGACCATCAATGCGGAAGTGCGCTTCTGCGATTTAATCTTAATTGTTTCAAATTAATATCTAGGCCGGTTAGGCCGCGTTGGAAGCAGCGCTGCCACTCACTGAGTGCTGACTGATTTTTTTTTGCAATCTGGCCAATCTTTGCATTAGGAAGCCTCGGGCCGTCTTCTTGCAATCACCGCAGGAAAAACAATGTTGTTCCTGCCACTTGTAAATCGGCTCGCGTAGTCTATGAGCGCCAGCACCACATAAAGAAGTTTACGCGTCTATTTGCGGATTTATTTCTATGGGCAGTTGGGTTTCTTGAGAGTACGGGGCTCATTTCGAAAGTTTTTTCACTTTCACAGCGGAACGTTTCCGAAAAACTCAGCAATTTCACGCAGTGGCCACATAAGTGTCCTTATGCAAAATATTTTTTCCGAAAGCATTCAAAACTGCTGTAGTCCGCCGTTTAAACATTGTCCATTTAGAGAGTTTTAGAAAACATGCCTGTTGAAAGAACGCTCGAAAGCTCCACTCTTCAAATTTCGCTTTCTGGGCCAAAACTACTCGAATTTCCTCACTCACGTTGTTACGACTGAATCGAATTTTCAATTCTCTATCCCACGATGCCAAAACGAATTCTGTCGCTCCAACGGTTCTTGAGAAACTTCGAAAAAAGCAGCGTTATGTTCAAGTGGATTTTGCAACTCAAAAAAAGAACTACGGAAACCTAAAACTTCTTGAATTCAGGCATTTTTTGAGAAAACTGCCAACATTTCCCCATCCATGGTTCACTTTCTAAAAAGGCCATTTATTTCTCTCTAGAATGATGTACAAATGAGCGT